GGGGGGGGGGGGGGGGCGGGGTGAGATGAGGTGGGTGCACGTGTGTGTGTGCGCGTGTGTGTAGAGGAGGCGAAGAATGTCAAGTTCAATGTCAAAGCCAACCCAGACATGACCCTGGACATCGACGCACCCGAGGCCGACGGTAAGCCAGGGGAGCCAGGACACTCCACACACACGTCCATTCATCCATCCATCCATGTGTCTGTGTGTCTGTGTGTGCAGGTCCGATAGCCAATGCCATCGAGGCCATCAAGACGTTCGCCAACTGCTGCGCCAATGTCATCAAAGAGTGCCCGGCGTACGGACGCACTCAACACACCCACACCCACACCCACACCCACACCACCACCACCACCCGGCCAACACTCACCAACCCATCAGAGCTGCCCACCCCTCTCCATGGGAGTGTGTGTGTGTTGCTGTCATGCTTCCATCCATCAGGTTGGTTACTCAGGTGCAGGAGTTGGCTGAGGCCGCCAAGGAGTTCCCGAGCAAGGTCATCGACGCGGCCAAGAACGCAGGACTCGCACCCGGCGATATGATGGCCGCCGTACGCCGCACACACACAGAGAGGGAGGGAGGGGAGGGGGGGAAGGGAGGGAGGGAGTTGGAGGGAGGGATGGGCACTCCTGTAAATGCACCTGTATGTGTATGTGTATGTGTGTGTGTGTATCTGTGGGTTTGGGTGTGCAGGCGAAGCACACGGGCACGAACTCCAAGTCCCTCACGAAGCTGCCCGAGGTGATCAAGCAGACCGCCGAACAGGCCAAGAAATCGGCAGAGGTGCGAGGTTGGCGATGATTGTCAATACTGATGGATGGATAAGTGCATTCCGTGTGTGTGGGTCGTGTTCGTTCAGGAGTTGAAGGAGGCCGCCATGGCCCTGGGCGAGTCCCCCGCTGAATAGACACCATCACACATACACAACACATCACATGGTAAACCCATCCACGTAAGCCACCCAGTCAGCCACACTCAATGCACCAACGAAACAAGCCTACACCCACACAAATAGGTTGTCTTTCTTTCTGTGCGGTGTGTGTGTGTGTGTGTGTCTGTCAGGTTTGTTGTGCTTTGTTTGTGCGAGTGGCTGGCTGTGTGTCTGTCGTGTGGTCTTTGCCGCATGGCAGTGGGTGTGCTGTGGTGTGGTGTGCTGTGAGGGTGGGTATGTCTGAATCGATGGATGGAGATGGATGGTTTTAACGCCCGCACACCGCTGCCTACCTGCCTGCCTGCCTGCCTGCCTGCCGGGCGGAATGTAATGTGCAGACAGACACCCCACGCCGACCAAGACAGACCAACACACACACACACACAGACAGACGGAGAGTATGTGTGGTTAGTTAGCTTCTTGTGCAGCCGCATCTCTTCTCACACGCATCACATGCGGGTGGCCGATGGTGTGAATTGAATGCATTTCTGAGGGAGAGAACCAGCAGTGTGAGCAGCGAATGAGTGAGTGAACGAATGAATCCATCCGTCGACTCGTCCAGCAAGTGTGTGTGTGTGGTTGGGGGAGGGAGGGAGGGCAAGGGGAGGGATGGTTCTGCCCGTCTGTCTGCCTGCCTCCCTGCCTGCCTGCCTGCCTGCCTGCCTGCCTGCTATCGTAAGTGTAATGTCACTCACCCGGGCTGTCTGTCTCTCTCTCTCTCTCCTTAGTGAGTGAATGGATGGATGGATGGATGAATGGATGGATGCGAGTGGGTGTGAGTGCCCTTCCTTTGCCGTCGTCCGTGAAGCATGCAGACCATCCTGGCTATGCCATCTCTAACCTGAGTGAGTGAGCACAAGAGCACCCGACCACACACACATCGATAGAAGGAAGGGAAGATATCAAGGAAGCAAGAAAGGAGGAGTATCTGCCTATTGCCTGCCTGCCTGCCTGTAAGTACTTAGCGGGCGGACGCACGGATGGGATGATGATGGCTGAATGGCCTGGCTGTGTGCGCGTGTGTGTGTGCGTGTCTGTGTGCGTGTGTGTGGGAGAACTGATAAGTTGACAGACAGATAAATGAACCTTCTGCAGGCAATCGGCTAGTCGATAACCGTACACTCACATGCAACCAATTTCCCAATTTGTCAAGAGAATCTCAATTCTCGACGTTCTCGTCAGGAGACGCATCGTGCGCCTCAGAATATTTTTTTAGAAGGGATATTTCAAAATGAGGCCAATCGACAGGAGTCAACACACAGACCACAGCAGCGGCTTTCCCATTGCACCATAGATATTGCAGAGCGTGTAACTCGAGTCACCTTCGGAGAGCCTCATGGAGGGCGGGGCTGTCGGCACACCGCAGCGCCCGGCTGCAGTGTCCGGGCGAATCGGCGACGGATGGCCTGAGGAGATGTTCCGCACTCCCGACAACGCCGCGGTACGTCGGACGCCCGTCAAGGTGCCAACACGTAAGTGAAGTCAGCAGGAGGGAGCGGGATGGGATGGACGCTGTGCTCTGCATCTCTCCACCAATGAAGAGAGGCGCATGCGTGACCTGTGTGTGGATTTCTGTGTGTCTGCAGTCAGCCCAGCCATGGGAGAGGGCGGAGAGGGGACGGCCTCTGAGGGTCTGGGCGGGAGGGGGGAGGAAGAGGGTATGGGCAGTCCCCAGCCGGACCTCTGGGCCGCCCAACGCTCGTGTGTACGCCCCAGCCGTACTCACCACAGGTACACAAACACACACCCACACCCACACACGAAAGGATGCACACGTGACTGAGATGAGTTTCACTTTGTGTGTGTTCGATTGCATTGCATGCAGGCGAGATCAACACGTTGAAGGCCATCGACGCCGTGTGCGAGGCCAACCCCAACGTCCGCGACCACCGGCGGGAGGGCGACCACATCGTCCTCACCGTCGGCGAGCGGGAGGTGCGGTTCTGGTCCCAGGAGCAGCGCAAGAAGGGTGGCTGCTACGACCTGTCGTGCGGCTTCAAGGCCACCAACATGGCCATGGGGAGCCTCACGCTGCCCAAACACCTCTTTCGCATGACTTCTGGTCGAGCAGACGGGTTGGTGCTCACACAACACAACATACATGCAATGGACATATGCGTGTACGTGGGCATGTGGTGTCCCTCGGCTCGACGTATTCCGGCCATCAGCCCCCGCAGCCAGGGGCGGCCGTCCCATGGTACAAGGCGGACTGTGGCAAACACGCCACAAACATCGCCATGGGGTACCAGGTCGTCGAGTTGAGGGCGATGGCTTCGAGAGGGTCGAGAGGGCCAAGCGGAAGGCCACTGAGGACTACGAGTGGCTCGACATGGCCGACATCGCGCACGCAGCACTTTGAGAAGCTGAAGAAGCCGTGCACCGAGTTGGGAGGGGTAAGTAAGCAGACACACGAGGGGAAGGAGTGCGACCAGTGACGTTATCTTCTTGTCTGTTTCTCTGTGTATGTGCCATGGTCTGTGCGTGTAGATTAAGGGGAAGTCGGTGGCCGAGAAGATCGAACTTCTAACGGCACACTGGGAGCGGGAGCGGGGGGCGGTGGTGGCCATGTTGCTGCGGGAGAGGGCGGTGTTCGAAGCCGGTCAGC